GGGGGGGGGGGGGTATTCGATCCACGCTATAACCGCCTGTCCATTGACAAAGATAAACTTGAACACAGAAGCACGGAGGATTTCTTTCTTTTTCGTGCACACACAAATTTATAAAATTTATAACAAGTCAGTAAGACTTTCGGATTCATTAACCGTGTCGCATAAGAGCAAATACTCTTTCGGTCGGCACTAGAACCCGCAGTAGAACCCGCACTCGCACTGTGTGTAGCAGCACTGTCCTCGATTCTGCTAAAATGCACTCTGAACTGGTCTGCCGACAGGTGTGTGCTGATTCGCAATAACTGAGTGGTTATGCACAGAAGCCAAGGATACCCTCCTGGACTCGGAAAGTGGAATATATATCGAAAATGTCGATAGTGCACGCTGAGAGGATTGTAGTGTCGCCGCGTTGTGTACTCCTGGCTCCCGACTCCAGGAACGAACGGTAACACGGACACGACGTAACGTCAGGTTCCCCTACTGAAAGTCTAGTTTCTCTCCCACCGTGGAACAGCGAGTTCAGAACGAGGGTACCTCACCGTCACTAGCACTGCGCTCCCACCAGCTCCCACGTAGGTACTAGCAGCTACGAGCCTCTCTCGAGTTTCCTTGTTCCCCTGCATCATCGCTGAGTACCCACGACACACGAGAGCAGCAGCACCAGTAGGCATTAACATCTGAAAACGCCGCGACTGTCTTCTCTCCTCTTATTGAAAGGGAAGAACGACAGTTTACTGCAGGGGCTGCAGGGCATTCGCTCGAGTCGGGACGAGTCAGAATACCGCAACGGGACAATCGTTCTCATTCAGTCTCTACGCTTTTTCCTCTTTCATCGTTTTCCTTCCTTGGTACGGTGAATTTGAAAATTCCTTGGATACGCACGATAAATTAGATTTAGGCTACTTCTTACACCTTTAAATTCCAATGATTTCGATACTCATTGCACTTTTGCCCTGTAAACCCTGACTCTTCAACGAACTTGGCACTCGACTCTTCACAACTCTACGTTCCACTCCTAGTTTTCTGACTGTCGCCTCCGTTGCGTGCGGACATCCTGGCTCCGTTGTTTGGTTGCCGGCGCCCCTCTCCGACTGCTAGCAGCCCATTGGCGTGGGTAGACGCCTGAAACGCAAAACCGGACGTTTTCAAGCTCTGTTATGCGATCCCTTTGCGACCACTTGGCCCTACATCCCTACATCCAGGCCCGTGCCGTGTGCACGATCTCTCCCTTCAGTCCAGACAGATGGCCACGCACGAAAATCGTCAATCTTCTGTATCTCTTTCTCCTCTCGAGAAGAAGCTTCATTTCGGCTTAATTTCATATCGCACAATTCATTTTGGCACTCTTGACTTTTTTTATTAGCATTCATCTGCCTATCGGTGTTTTATGTGCCACGGGCAGGAGTTGGAACATCGGTCGTATCTCGTATCACTGTCAACTCGAAAGTTCCTAATCGCAACCATAACCCCGACACGTTTAAGCTAATTGTGCAATTAAGATAATAAAACGGTAAGACCTCGTGTCAGAGACGATGTGGATTTGCATGGCTTGAAAGCTTCAATGCTTTTACACGTAACTACAGGACTTTTGCAGACACGTACCTTTCCATGGTTTCGCGCGTTACGTTCCTATCTTCCAACTCACTCGAAAAAAAGTCCATCAATTAATTGTGAACTATAAGCGTGTCCTTTTAGGAGGATTTTCCAGTAATCATAACTACTTTAACGGTTAATATTCATCATTCTGACGACTCCTATTACTTTTACGGGCGATACTTTCGGTTAATGTATGTTTGGGACTTGTTGGTAACGGAGAGTCGATTTACCCCTTACCGATCGAACTCACGTACCATTCTACGTTGTCAGTCAGCAGTTGCGTCGTCGGTAAAATACCTAGTCTACTTACCTTCAGTCAACGACGTTATACCCGGTGCAGTCGAAAATTTTATACGTATTCCGCTGATTGGCGAAGGTGGTTCTAGCTTGCAGTGCGCGATGCCTCTCACAGAGCTCATGTAATCCATTGTTATGTATGCCAACTTGTAATTCGTACTGTTACGTGTGTGCCTTCACTTAAAGTTTACTTACTTTTGTTTGTGATTGTGTCTGGAGTGAGTGATGGGAGAGAGGAGAGGCCTTGAAGGATACTGCGAAAGCAAGTGGAATCGTACCCGGAGCTAGGTACGCTGTGGAATATGATAAATTCTAGGTGTGTTGTCAATGTGATCTCAACTGGTGAATAATGTATTTCTTTGAACGACTAGAGGTATGTAGGCCCAAAACATTATTTCTCATACCGTTATGCTTTTATTCGCTCGAATGAAAAGAGGAAAATCAGTATATATCGGTTGGCATTAACCCCTGTCATTTATCTCCCTCTACGAATTGTCTTGAATAGCGATATTTCTGTAAGAAGAAGCAAAAGGAAATAAAAATAGAAAATGATCGAAGCGAGCTGGCTAGCGGCAACCATTTGAAAATGACAAAGATCACACGGAAGATCACGTCCAGCGTATAAATGCCCGATTTGAAATCCTTTTGACACTCTAATACCTCATTCGGCTCTCCGCGTACGACGCGGGTGTGAAGGGGTGATAGATAACAGAGGGCTTATGGCGGTGGTTAAGTGCAATTCCAGACTTAGGACACGTAAAAGTAATCCGAGCGTTGGGAGTCGGACGCGCGGTTTTACTGCCTCATGAACCTTTTTAGATATAAACTTGGTGACCGCAGCCCTGTCGACTATTTTTGCGGGATCTCACCCTATCCCTCATTCATTCGGTTTTAATGTACAATTTAATGGAAAATCAAATTTTATGGGAAATTAGAGCGAAATAATAGCGACACTAAAATACAGCCGGAATTTGAACAGTATCACCGGTAAGAGAGTAGAGAGTATAGAGGGATTAGAGGAAAAAGGGAGTAAGGTTGAGGGTAGAATAAAGTGAAGAAGATTTCGCGAAATTAATGGCAAGAGGAATAAGCCAGAGAAAATACGTTTGCGATGCAGGACTAACACGAGGGACTGGTGGATTGTGTTTGGAATCGAGTCGCCCCTCCGTGGACTCCGGTTCGGAGTTTCTGGGAAATGTTACTACAGTGAGTATCATCCTAGAGAACAGAATGTCGATGGATGGAAAAAAAAGAAAAGTCTCTCTCGCAAGACGCGAGCTTCCAGGACGCACAGAAACACCGAAGGGAAGATTTCACGAGACTTCTAAGGCAGGGCTGCTGCATGCATTAAAGATGATCATGATTCTACGGATACTTGACCAACTTCGAATGGACCACCTAAGGCCTGTTCCGAGATGCGCTGGGGAATTGCAGCCTCAGCGCGTTGTTGACCTTTAGCCCAAAACGTCCCTCACCCTTGTCGCCTTTTCCGTTGTTTCATATCATAAAAGTCGCGACAACAAGAAAAAGATATGTCAAGAAGATGTGGAAGGAGCTAAAAGTAGATAGATTCTCTCGGGCGGTTGCGGTCGACCTTATCCGCTTGTCTCTGGTATTTGGCGAGGCTGCGGAGGCGCTGCTCCTTACAATAACAATAGACGAACACGCGCGTAGGTCGAGACCACAGTACGCACAGCGTCTACCTACTTGCACTGTGAAGCTCACGCATCATGCACAACGCACGTGGAACTCTGAGTAGTTGCAATCGCAAGTAATTGCGCGAGAAGAGGGAGAAGAGGGAGAAAGGGCGACACTGGCGCAGCTCAGCAGGCCGAACTGCAGGGCAGGCAGGAACGCGGATGGCAGCCCAGCTGCGTGCAGAATGCAGAGAACACTGGAGGACGCCTGGCGCGCCTTGCGTAATTCGCAGGGCCGATCCCGTTCTTATTCGCGCGAGGCAGCGAACGGACGGCATCCAGTCTACGTAACCTGCTATAGGTTACGCAGTCGACTGCAGCGCTATCGATCGATGAATGCACTTGACATGGCACGCGGACGTCGCGTGCTCTCGCCTATAAGGATCAAATTAATAAATAAAAGATACACACTGTGTCCTCTGAAAAGGAAAGGATGTGACCTTGACTCCATGTGCCTCGGCAACCTCCGAATTCCCACTGATCTCTCTTTATCCGTTCACGTGTAGAATGGCTGGGACCGAGACGGAAGGAGGCTGAGAGGAATCCTACTTCTCCTGCACCGGGTGTGCTCGATCATGCATTATTCAGGGTAACATATTAATAAGGCGTAGGTTCCAAACTAATTTCAAATCGTATGCTAATCCATTCTCGTGCTTCCTTCACCGCGGGTGTCATGCATATATGCATCGCGCGCATGTTGCTCCAGGATCCGAGGAAGTAGAATTCGTCCCCGTCTGTCTAAGTCGATCTGTCTAAGGACGGAGGAGGAAGCCTCTCTCGGAAGAAATCTTCATAAAGTTCCGGCTGTCTTGACTCTTTTAATTTCCCTTTTGGGTATCGTGACCCGTCAGGATAGAAGGAGGACGGTGCAACTCCACGTGCCTTGGATCGGGGGCATCCTCTCGAAGAAATGATCCTCGCAAATGAGAAGAAGGGCCATGGATGCCGAACAGAATCCTTCGCTCCACCCCAGAAAGACTCTCCCTGGCCTTCTCTGTATCTCCGATCTTGGAAGTAGATTGCCTGCCATCTGGCCACCCTCGCATCTGACCCCTGCAGTGCCCCAGTCAGCCTCTTGGACAGCATGAGTGAAAGAGGGCCTTGTCGTCTAGTCATCCTATATTCAGTCATCAATCTAAATCAGCAGCACTTTTGAGAGACGAAAGATCCTAGTGTACAGGTCGTTACCAACCTACTGTATAGTTGGCTAGTTACTACTAGGAAAGTGGATGGGTTGGTGTCACTGATTCCTCCGTTCGAAGGAGAACTTTCCGATTGCGAGCACCGACATCCCACCCGGGGAGAAAAACAGGGTGCATTCACACTTTTGCGCTCCCCGCTAAAGTCCTTTGGAAGCTGAACAGCCTGTTCGCGATAGGTTAGGGGTTATGAATTATTTCGCTCGGAGATCCTATTGATTGGCTTTGAGCGAGCGATCCCAGCCGACGGCAACTATTAATCTGCCATAACAGCTCAGCGGTATCGACTTGAGCGTTACGTTAGCTGGCTGCCGATTGCGTGTCCTACATCGCGGCCAGAAAAAAATCGACGAGGAAAAAGAAAAATATAGAACAGAGAGAGGGAGAGAGACTGCGGAGGGAAACAGGGACACAGAGCTGAAAAATAAATAAGGCGTGAAATATTGTATCGATACTGGTTCCGTGCACCGACGGCCGAAGGGATGGGAATGAAGTGGGAACCTAGGAGAATTCATCAGCCAACCTGTCAGCAGCGTACAGGATGAAGTTGCCAACACACCCGGAAAGATGTAATGTCCGATATCAAAGGAAATACGGGGTTTCTATCCGATTACTGTTCTCCCGTTCTTTTGTATATACATATGTGTATACCGCTATTCTTATTATTATATAGAGGAGCATCCTCTTTTTCATATTCTTCCAATTGAAGCTTAAAGCAGCGGCGACCCACTTTGGATACTCTGGATGCGGAAGCCCACTACATCGCTTACACTCTGTGCTCTTATCCTGAAACAAATAAATCATTAAATTTCTATCTGTGCGCGATTTCTTTTTCCATTGGAGCAACTCTTATCGGTTCATATAATATTTTTTAAAACTGAACTTCTCTACGTCTTCGTTCGGCAGCTCTCGAAAAGCTCAAGGAAACGTTCGAGTCCCTATGGGAAATTGGTGAACGTACAGCTGGCGGCTGCGCCGATTGGCTGTTGCCGGGTATTCAGCCAGCCAACCTGCCCGCGGGCGTTGTGGGTGGGGAAGGGGGGAGGCCAGGCACGCAGCAAGCAGCGACTTTCGTGCTGAACGCCAGTCGCTTTCCGCGCGTCCCTTCGAACGGGTTCATTTTACCAGTGCTTCTTTCCCGTACTCGAACTCGCATTTTCCTTCTATTATCGAAATCGCAAGTGCACGAGTATCGGCAGTGGCGGATCAGGTGCAAGCTTATCTTGCATTTCGCATTGACGTATTCCATTGCTTGTGAGTGTGTGTGAAGAATTTTGGAAACACCAAGAGGTAATTGATAGTACTAGTGCTTTTTAATTTCTATACTTTTAATTTTCTCTATTAGTATGCAGTTGCTGCTTTGAAATCCCGAGACGATAGAGTTAGTAAATTGAGGTGATAGTGTCGTAAGGAAATTAAAATCGGAAATTACTCCCCAATGCATCTGAAACACGTCGGAATGTAGAAACGCAGGTTTAAATATTACTTAGGAAATGTAGAGTTTCTGACACTTCGTCACGAAGGGAACACGTAGCGTCGGCGACAAGTCGAAGATCGATCGACTTCGCGTCAGAAGTAAATGCAAAACTCGAAGCCGAAAGGACAACGTTAAATTTATTTCTGCAGAAGGGCGCATCCAGGAGCGATGCCGGAAGTAATAAAATGATCGTAAAAAGGGAAGGAAGGAAAATAGGGGAAACTGGATGGTAATTGAATTGTCAAGCGAAACTGCCCCCCCCCAGCCCATCTCTCCTCCGCCGCTACCATCACCGCGATCTCTTTGCATTATTATCTCATCCCGCGTGCACAATTGCACACTCGTCCAGGACAGCGTAGATTTTCGGAAGAAGAAGCTGGCGGACGCCTGCGATGCAGGTGTGTTTACAAGGACACGACCGAGTGACGTAGTAGAGATGCTCCTGTTCAGGCTGGACCGAACAGCGGAAGAGCAGTGAC